GAGTAATCACCTTCCGTGCAACCTTGGACCGAATATGATCCTTCATTTGTTTCTTTTTCTTCAACTCGTTTATCGGTTGTTGCATGACCCATTTCTTTACTACTTTCCTCGGTTGTGACTTAGGTTTGTGGTTCTTCTTTTGTTTCTTTCGGGTTACCAAAATCCATGGTCTTCCTTTGTCATCAACATCCTCAAATGCCATTCTTTTAGTGAGAGAAGGACATTCTTTCGTCCTCTTGATAGTAAAAGGGAGCTTACACTTGTGAGAATCTGGGTCGTCATTGACCATTAGCGGAGCAAACCTACCGAAGGTAATGGTAATTTGGTTTGCGCTTGCTGCAGAATCGGCAAGTTCAATCTTTCCTTCGCGGGCTAAAGCCATAATCTTGTCTTTGAACACCCAACACTTCTCTATCAGGTGACTCAACACTCTATGGTATTTGCAGTAGATGGGATCATTGACCTTTGTGGCTTCTTCAGGTCGTTTTGACTGAGGTAAATCAACAAGTTTCAACCTCATCAGTTCATCAAACATCAGAGAAACATCAGACTCCAAGAAAGGATATTGTTTCTCCATCATCTCTCGCAAAGTCGGCTTGACACGCCCCGAGGTTTCAGGTTCAACTTTAGCAACTTGTTTTGTCTTCTCGGTATTTTGAGTGAAGACTTTGACTGGTGAAGTCTTCACAACCATTGCTTCTTTCTTTTCAAATTTAGAAAAGGACTTGCCCCCTTTCTTGGTATCTTGCTTTTCAGCGGCATGGTTCATGGGATAGATGCCCATAGCTTGCCTTCCATTACTTGCAATACTCAACTCCATGTTACGAGCTCTGCTTGCTAATTCATCGAAAGTAGCTGGATTCACTCCCTTGAGAATATAACATAACTCCCAGTGCATACCTTCAATGCACATATCAATTGCAGAGTTTGTAGAGATCCGATCTTTGCAATTGAGGGCAAGATCTCTCCAGCGCTCGATGTAGGTTATCACGGGCTCATCTTTCCACTGGCGAGTAGTTGTTAACTCAAGCAAGCTCACCACCCTCCTTGTGCTGTAGAAACGGTTTAAGAACTCACGTTCCATATCTTGCCAGCTATCAATGGAACCAGGCTCTAGGTCAGTATACCAGTCAAAAGAGTTTGCTTTCAGGGAACGTACGAACTGTTTGACCAGATGGTCTCCGCTTGTTCCCGCGTTATTGCAGGTTTCCACGAAATGGGCAACATGTTGCCTTGGGTTTCCCTTCCCATCAAACTGGATGAACTTCGGCGGCTGGTAACCAATGGGCATCTTTAGATCCTCGATCCTTTGAGTGTATGGCTTAACATAGGAGTAAGTAGATTTGTTTCCTTCTATCTTCCCCTTTATGGTTCCCATAATGAAGTCTTTAAGTTGATCAATCGGGATCATGCCCCCGGAGGTTGAGATATCCTTGCCCGAATCCTCTTGTTGAGGATCATTCTCTTCATTTACTTCGGGGTCCTTCTCATGATTATGACTTGACTCGCCTTTCAAGCTCTCTACTTTGTTGTTTAGCTCATTCAACTTTTGGTCTTGATTCTGCATGAACGTACTCATCCCTTCGATGACCCTAGTTAGATGAGCGATTTGTTCTTCCATCGTCATGGCACTCGTGGTCATAGTGGGCATCACAGTGTAGACATTCGACCACTGCGGAGTAGTTCTTCGTAGAGGACTTGATGGGGGAGTAGAGTCCGATCCAGATGATGAGCTTTCACCTCCGCTTGTCCACTTCGGGGAAGTAACATCACGTATGGGTGAAGAAAGCTTCCAGGCCATTTCTTGCGCAATTCGAGATCCATCCATTGCACCGGGAGTAGTTCCCGAAGATGACTGCGCAGCCAGGATTCTTGATCGGCTCCTAGTGATAGGGCCTTGCATGTTTTGATTTGAGCTTGACGATGCTCGAGAATTCAAAGTGAACACGGGCTTGCTTGACGCCATTGTTTCGTTTTCCTTGATTAAAAGTGAAGAGATGAGAGGTAGAGTTGTCCCACCGGGCGTGCCAAAAATTTGTGAAACAAATTTTAAGTATTTACTTAAAATTGATCGCAAATAATAATATGTGAGAATATCGGGTACAATCTCTAAATATGAATCCTCTGATTCTTCACTGGCAATTTGATATGAATATAATTAAAGAATTTAATTTAAAATTAAATCTCTAATTGTTCAAAACTCGAACGTTCTTCGATTCTTCGAATCTTCGTTCTTGAGATCTTCGAATCTTCGAACTTCGTTCTTCAGATCTTCAAATCTTCTTGAATGCAAAATTCAATATTGAAGGGGCCTCCGGTTTCAAGTAGCTTGATCTTCAACAAAAGGGCTGTTATGTGGCTTGATCTTCTGTTAAAGGGCTTCCCGGGATATATGGATTGATCTTCAATTGAATATTGATTCAATCTTCAAATGAATATCTTCAATTCTTCAAAGATTCGTTCTTCATATCTTCGAATCTTCAAAGCTTCGTTCTTCAGATCTTCGAATCTTCAAGCTTCGTTCTTCAGATCTTCAAATGTTCTTCAACTTTTGGCTTTGTTTGATCAAGAATAGATGAAAATCACAAAGGATTAATCATATATTCTTGACAAAAACGTGGCTTGATATCTTCCAATGTTTCGGAATCCTTCAGAGCCTTTCGGGAGTTCTTCAGAGCTTTTCTGCAGCGTTTCTTCGTCTGGAAGTTCTCCTTCTCTTCCTCTCATCTGAGACCCCTATTTATAGGTGTGGAGGGGGTGAAAATATGGTTTAGGGTTTAGCAAATTCGTCCATATGCATAGGGCCTCAAATAAAATGGGCTTTGAGCTCTATTTGCTTGCATTTAATAGCTAGAAAAATCAGCATTTGTTCAATGTATCTGGACAGCCTTTTTAACAACGTTCGGAGCTATTTCTTACGCATATGGACACATTTCTTAGCCAGATTCATTGCTCTCTTTATCAATTGGATCATGTCTCTTATATATTGGGTCGCTATTTGATAATGGGCTCAAAAATAGAAAAATTAATAGGATCGGTCCGTTCTTTGAAAGGCCGCTTAATTAAATTAACTGGATATTGTAAATGACCCAAATTAATTTAATCACTAAACTTTGTCCGATCAGATCCATATAATATTTTCCTTTTGATAGGACATATGAGTAGTCTAGTACAATTCGATTTTGGCCCAGTAAATTCGAAATAGGCCCAATAAAATCAAAATAGCCCGGCAGCATTGTAAGAGACCCAATGATCATCATGACTGGCCTAATAATTTTTAAATGTCCACAATAGCTAATTAAATGACTATTTAATCCAATTCATAATGAATATATCTTCAACTATTTGAATATATCATACATATAAGGCAGTTTCAATTATAATTCATTAATAAGAGATGTCTTCCAGATTGGTAACTCTCAAACTTGAAGGATATTTTCCACTTTTCCCTCCCACTCATTTGCGGCTAATGATCGGGCTAAACTTGCAAGTATACAAGTGCCGAATTGTAATAAATTCCGGTAAAATACCGGGTCGATCCACAGGGAAATGGTTGATATTATAAAGTTGAGTATCGAATGTAAAAGAATATAAATGGTATAATTTTCAGGAACTTTGCTCTTGAGATTGGTTTAAACAATAATGAGAATTACTAATATATGAATAATAGTTACAAAGTATTTAATAATAGTTACGAAGTATTTAATAATAGTTCTTTGTCAATAATTATGAATACGATCTCGCTAATATATTCTCAACTCTGATTAAGGCAGCGAGAGCGTGGTTTTCGTTACGTGTAAGTCCCGTTACGGCTTACATTCATCTACCAAAAACCCCGTTGAATATCAAGACATCACACCCGTATCATATAAGACCGGATATATTTCTATTCTCGGTACTATATCTGTTTATCCTTTAATGTTCATAGTTTAGACTTCAACGTTAATTGCAAGCATAAACTAAATTTAACATACTTCTATGTTGTTACACCATAGTCATAAACAATCAAAATATAAAGGATAAATCACAATTTATTGGTTTAGAACTTTTATCAAACACCTAGTGGGCATAGAGGTAAGAAATTAGCCTCTAATACTCATATTAATCACAATACAATATTTAAATGTAATGGAACATGAAATTACAAAGGAAATAATACCTAAACACCAATAATTTCGGAGGTTAAAGTTTCCTCCTCAAGAACTTAAAGAAAAATAGCAAGAACAAATTATAAAAACTAGGAATTAATCTATGGAATGGAATGTGTTTGCTTGATGAATTGAGGGCTTTATATAGGCTAAAGAATGATATCTTTTAAGATATTCAAGCCCAACAATAATGTATGGAGGCAATATTTGATCAACAATGAGGAAGATGAAGTTTTCCCATCAAGAAATGGCTTGCACGTCGGACTGTTTTGTGCATAAATCAGCCCAACCGGCGCCGGTTTTGTCCCGACCGGCGCCAGTTCAAAACAGGCCCTATTATGCTCGAAAAATACCAACTGACCGGCCGCGGTTGTGGGCTGACCGGCGCCGGTTGCTGCGCCAAAAAGTGTACTCTCTTTTCTTTCTCTTTTATGGATAAAAAAGTGTTGGTTTTTGTCCCGGGATTTTGGGGATGTTCCGCTGTGAATTTGGACACGATTCCTTCATCAAAGTTGTAGATAATGAAGTCTTATATCCACCAAAACTTGAATGACGTGATTTTATTCATCCAATAAAAAGATATGAATAAAACACGGAGAGGTATGCATCCTGAAATCCCACCAGCAACATCTGACTTTATTGGTTGATTGAGTCTTGTTTCTTTCATATTTTGACCATGACGTCTTCATAACATTTGTACCTTATTGAGTTAACATTCAAATGAAACTCGAATCGAGTGATTTCAATTTCTCTACAATAAGTTATACTCAAATTACGGGCAGAACGTCATCTTCTTGGTCTCAAAAACCGTTCATCACAATGTTTTATGCTTTAACTCTCGTTCTGAAGGTATTTGTCCGATTTCTCTTCTTTTCTTCAACAAATACTTATAAATACTTATGTTAAACACAAGTAAATGTAACGTCTATCAGCTAACTCTCAAATCCTTCTCTTTCAATTTCCTCAAAAAATATCCCAAACATACTCTTAGGTTGTTTCCCGGTGGAGACATAAGGGGCGCAGAGTGAAGGGAGGCTCTGTCTCATCTCAAATATAATCTATTTTAAATTATTAGGGCAAAAGAAGTCGTGTCAAAAAAAATCTTTGTACTTATCAAGTCTAATGTACCGTTTTGAAAGTCGTAACACATCTGATCTAAATAAGAAAAAGTAAGTATGCATAAACATTTTTTATACATTCTGTAGCTATGTCTACAACAAATTTAATTACTAATTAGTTCCACCCTGTCAATTCGAGAGTAATTTACGATTCATACAACGGCCTTTTCCCCTTTCTAGGGGTTTCTTCTGCCGATCAAGTGCGGCTCACTTCTTTGGACGTCGTGCAGCGCCCTATGGCAGATAGGCGATGAGGTAGGTCCGGCGCAAGACGGTTTGGAAAAGTTGATCGGGCAGTGCGATGGTTGGGAGTTCAGGACCGAGGATGACAATCTGGTACTCGATGAGGAGGATGATGTGGGCCATATGCAGGGGCGGAGCCAAGGGAGGATCAGGGGGGTCAGTCGACCCCGCTGAAAGTTTAAGAGCATAGAGCTCTGAAATATCTTCGATTTGATATATTATGGCCCCCGTAACTCATTATGAGTAAAAAGTTATGACTTCTGCAAAATCAGCACTATCTAAACGTAAAATCAGCAAAATGTGATGAGTAATATTGTTTTTTTCCCCCAAATTTTAAAATAGCGTATAATTAACCAATTACTTACGTGACATGACTAAAAAATAGAGCAAAAACAGTCTCTTTTATTGTTACGAGTGCCTATTTATCTAAACTACATATAAAATATTCAACTCGGACATTGTTTGGAAACGATCCACCATTTTCATTTTGTATAAAGTTGATTCTCGACCCCCCTGGACCGTATTTCTGGCTCCACCACTGGCCATATGGAGATGAGTAACAGAGTCTAGAGTTTGAAAGAAGATGAGTCAACGCTCAACTCTGTTTTGAGCGTGTTTTTATTTTCTAGCAGAACTCTAGAAAGTAGGACATGTGATGAAAAGTCTTGTTTGTCAGTTAGTCATTGACTCAGTTAAGCCCATTTTAAAAAAAAAAAATAATCTGCTTACATTATGTTATCTTAATATAAGCCATTTTCGTGCAAAAAAGAGTCTAATATACCCTTTGGCTACACCTGCGTACGCAATCTGTGAATGCATAACCACACGTTAAGGAAGTCAAACCCCCAAATTTAGGCCAATTTTATAACTTTACAATCTAATCAGCACAAAATAAAGAGTCTTGGGAGATTTTAAAAGTATACGACAATCGCAGCCATTTTTGAAATTACAAGACAGTTTTTTCTTCTAGTCTAGATTAAATTACGAGTAAGGAAAAAAAGTTCCTTTTCGTCATTGATAGACAAGGGAAACACATAACCGTGCAAATCACGTTCCAAGCTTTTGGAAATTGTTTAACGAACTGCCCTCTTTGGTTCGGTCAACGTTATGAGAAATAAGAAAAGAATCAGGAGGATTAATTATGGTAGACGGAGTAACGAAAACGGTAACGCTGGGAACATTCATACCATAATTAAGGATTAAAGATTACTCTGTTTGGCCATAACTGGCGGAATTGATTGAATGGCGCCTTAGCTTTTTTAATACCCCTGTTTTTAGTACTGCTTGGTGCTATATAAGCCAATCCTGGAAAACTCCAAAAAAACGCAGCTTGATTCGATGAAGAAGTCTCGTCTTTCATCATTCGGGCTCTTCCAACTTTTTCTTCTTGCTCCTCTCTGCTGTACTAATGTCAAAGCCTCTGCGACGGACTCACCAACGACCAAATTCGTCCGCTGCCTCGCTGCTGCACTGCCAAATGCCACTCTCTCTGATATTATGTATCAGCAAAACAATCCCAAATTCACATCCGTTTTAGATGCCTATGTGAGGAATCTCCGGTACAACACCTCCAAAACTCCTGAACCGGCCATCATCGTGACCCCATTGACGGAAGACCAAGTCCCGGCGGTGGTTGTGTGCGCGAAGGATGCCGGAATCGAGATCAGAATCCGGAGCGGCGGACATGACTACGAGGGGGTCTCTTATGTCTCCAGCACTCCCACCTTTATGATTCTCGACATGTTCAATCTCGGGTCAGTAGACGTCACTATTGACAACAAGGGAGCGGGGTCGGCGTGGGTAAGAGCCGGAGCCATCCTCGGGGAGGTTTACCACGGGATCTACGAGAAGAGCACCGTTCACGGATTCCCCGCCGGTGTCTGCCCGACCGTGGCCGTCGGCGGGCACCTGAGCGGCGCCGGGTACGGGAACATGCTCCGGCAGTACGGGGTGTCGGTTGACCACGTGGTGGACGCGCGCATAGTCAACGCGAAAGGGGAGATTCTGGACCGGGCAGGCATGGGGGAGGATCTGTTCTGGGCCATCCGCGGCGGCGGCGGCGCGAGTTTCGGAGTGATCCTGGCGTACAAAATCAACCTGGTTCCCGTGCCGGAGAAGGTGACGTATTTCCGGGTGGAGAAGATGGTGGAGGAAAACGGGACGGCCGTGGTGATGGAGTTCCAGAAGGCGGTGAGCAGCATGGACAGCCGGCTCTTCGTCCGCCTCCTGGTGCAGCCGAGCAAGGCGGCGGGGGGCCAGAAGACGGTCAAAATCACGGCCATCGCGCTGTTCCTGGGGAGCACCGAAGAGCTGGTAAGGGAGGCGAACAAGGAATTGCCGTCTCTGGGACTGAAGGACACGGACTGCGCGGAAATGAGCTGGATCGAGTCGGTTCTGGAATGGGCGAATTACGACCACAATACCACAAAACCGGAGCAGCTGCTGAGGCGAGAGGGGAAGGACCCAATAAAGTTCGGGAAGAGGAAATCCGATTACGTGGAGGCGGAGATACCCGAAGCGGGGCTGCAGGCGCTGTGGGGGAAAGTGAAGGAGGGAAAGGTGGGGATGGTGTTCAACTCCTACGGCGGGAAGCTGCCGAATATCGCAGCAGACGACGCGACGGCGTTCCCTCACCGGTCCGGGATTCTGTTCAAAATCCAATACTCCGTGTCCTGGGACGACGACACCGACACGGTGACGAACCTGAAGCAAGCCAAGGATTTGTACGAGTTCATGACCCCATACGTGAGCTCCATGCCCAGACGGGCGTACCTCAACTACAGAGATCTGGACATCGGCACCAACCACGACGAGCACGGATCCGATGTGTTCGGCCCCATGTACTTTCGTGACAACTTCAAGAGGCTGGTCCAGATCAAGAATCAGGTCGACCCTGATAATTATTTCAAATATGAACAGAGCATCCCCATCTACTGAGTCAGAATCCATACCTCCATTATATTGGGCAATCACCTTCTTCTCGATCGTTTATCCTAGCTCCTCCCCCACGGTTCTTATATGGCCTGGGCACATTATATTTCCACTTGTTTTTGTTTATGGGATTGGATACCGGCCATTTCCCCATGCTATATCTTATACTGATGTATGTTGTATTTCTACACCTAATGACGCTATCATACTCCAACGTTACCACACCCTTCAATACAAATGCTTTTTTCTGTTATAAAATGTGCTTCATTCGAACGGTTGAATATCTACACACAACACACACGTGACAAATACAAATGTCCAAGTGTAATCTTGTTTGTTTATTGATACGGATGATATATGTTTGGTATATATGTTCTTTTAGAAGCTGTTCTCTTCGTCTAATGTTTCTGATCTGATCTGAATCTTTCTGATCTGATCTAATCTGAATCTTTCTGATCTGAATATTTCTTTAATTATAATTATAATTGTTGGGATATATTATCCCGGCCTATTACTGTTCAGGAAACCAAGACATTACTCAGTACGGAGCCAGGGTAGTTAGGCCCATTTCGGCCCATTAGGCCCAATATTGGCCCGTTTGGTCCATTAGGGTGGAGAGCACCTTTTCCCCTTTGTCTATAAATAGGGAGCTTGGCCTCCATGTAAAGGGGGCCTTTTGGATTACTTCCTTCTTCCTCTAGAATAGCTCAAATACTCCATTAATGGAGCTAAAATTGTACTTGTAATGGTGAGGAGAGTCCTAATGAGAAAGAGAGGGCTTGGACATTAGCCTAAAAAGTCCCGTGGTTTTCTCCCTTTCGGGTTTCCACGTAAAAACTGAGTGTTCATACATATATTTTCTATATCGTGTTGGATTAAACTCAACAATAATTATTATGATTATAATTGTAATTATAAATATAATTTATAATTATAGTCATAATTCTAAAAATATTTAATTATAATTATAATCATAATTATAATTATAATTAAAGTTATGAAAAATTATACCTACTACACTGATTATAATTATAACTATAATTATAATTGTAATTATATTTTTTAATTATAATTATTTCTATAATTATAATTGTAATTATAATTATAATTATAATTACTCTGTATAATAATAAAAATAAATAATAATAATAATAATAATAATAATAAATAACAATAATAATAATAATAATAATAATGATCATAATAATAATAATAATAATAATAATAATAATAATAATAATAATAATAATAATAATAATTATTTTATAATAATAAAAGTGATAAATCATGTTTGAAATTTTCTGATCTGATCTGATCTGAATGCTTCTGATCTGATCTGAATCTTTCTGATCTGATCTGATCTGAATCTTTCTGATCTGGTCTGAATGATTCTGATTTGATCTGAATCTTTCTGATCTGATCTGATTTGATCTGAATTTTTCTGATCTGATCTGGTCTGAATAAAATAAGAATAAGCAATAAGTAATAAGAATAAGACGAATAGAACAGCACCTTAGTTAAATTATGTAAAAACAATTGTATTTGTACTTGTTGAGGTTTATTCCTTCAACCTCCAGGCCCAACACGTAAGCCCAAAGATTTCGAGTGGAGTGAGTGTATGAGTATGTGAATATCTAGCCCAACAACTATCAGATGGATCAGGAAATAGAGCAAATAGCAGGCAATGTAAATAGGTATTATTAACTTCGTAATAACTCCCCTAAGTACAATCTACTTGCTAAAAAGGCACGTCGGCCGTTCGTCTTACGAGGTAGTGTAGATGCTACCGGTAAGAATGCTATAGCTAGAATGCTAAGAATAGAAAGTTGCCAACCCTTTACAATGAAATAAATGCTTCTATTTATACCCGCCAATGGGCAGGTGGCTATGCTGACGTGGAGGCCCGTGGACCGCTTGTGTCCCAACCACCAAATCTCCAGCATTAAATACACTTCCCGCCAGTATCTAGGTTTCCCGCCTAAATAATGGGGACGTTCGTCCGCCTGGGAAGCGAGCTGGATCGCTCCAAGTGACCCTCAAGAGGTTTCGGCTGTTCGTCTCCTGGCCTTGATGGATTCTCTCTATGTGGACTGGATTTCCTCCGATCCGATGATCACGGGCTTGCTCAAGAGACGTTCGTCGTCATCCCTGATGGCCCGTGGCCCTGCTTCTTGTCCCTGCATAGACGTTCGTCGCTGTGGGCCGTTGAGCCTAAGAGCCCTTAACACAAGACGTTCGTCCCTCCCCAAGGAACATGGGGCCTGCGGGCTAACCTTGTGTTCTAACTCGGACGTACGTCTTGTAAAAAGAGGTTAATGGGCCGGACCTCGGCTTGGGCCATTATCCCAACACAAGTCCCCCACTTCTGATGTTCTGAGCATGCGCAGGACATAAGGAAGTATGAACTCCCTCGAAGTAGACGTTCGTGTCTTGATACTTGATGTTTATTGCATCCGGTGGAAGCGTACGCTCGTGGTCATGGTGCTTGACAGCTGTCGACGGTTCAGGGAACGAGGTGACGGCTGCTGTAGCGGCGGTGCATTTTCCCGAGGAGGTGTCATCATTACGCTCCCATCCCACGCACGGCGCGTGAGCTGGACCACGCTCCTTGCTACGTGTCCAACCCTCGTTGGCCCCTTAAACGGTGTTCCCCCTATAAATGCCGGGTTTTCCCCCTGAATTAGGGTTCCCAATTTCTGCTCCCTTGCTTTAGGATCCCCGCTGTTCTTCGAGTTCTCTGCTTGGCTTCTGAGTTCAGCTAGTCTCTTTGTAAGGTAATTTCCCTCCTCTGCTTCTTTTCCTTGTTCTGACTCCTAGCCGAAATGACCTCGATGGAGATTTCGTCAAGTTCTGATTCCGGTTCGTCGGGTTCCTCTTCGGGCTCCTCTTCTGACGACGTGAGTGCGCGCTCCCCTGAAAAGGCCAGCGTTTCTGGGACTTCTGGTTTGGCCACGACGGTAGGGACCATCCGGGCTGATGGTGAGCCGGATGACGCTTCCCAAGGTAGTGGGAGCGATGCCGGGGACAGAAATGCTGACGGGGCAGTAGATGTTATTGATGCAGTCCCCTTGAATGAGCGCCCCGCCGACTATGATTCTGGGGAGGAGGCCGAATCAGGTTCTGACATGGAGGTGCATGATCTGGGCATCCCTATGGACATGGAGCGCCACATCTGTCCGATCAGAAGCGCCCTCGACCACGATCAAGTTCTCTCCCGCGTGGCTCTTAACAAAATCCGCACCTTCTTCCCCCCGCCGTTCGTCTGAAGCGTGAGAGGCGCCAAGCACGTGATGAGGAGACGTCCGGGGATGATCATGCTTCATTTGGACTCCGTTGAAGCCGGGCTGCGGTTTCCACTTCATGCATTTTATGTGGAGTTCTTCCATTGCTTCCAAGTGGCCCCGGCGCAATTCATGCCAAATTCTTATAGGTTCATATCGGCCTTCTTGGTGCGCTGCAAACTTGCGGGAGTCGATGCCACCTTGGATCTGTTCCACTACTTCTTCCGGATTACCCCTCAGAATTCCGACGGCTACCTGAGCGTGGCCGCACGTCCGGGGAGGAGGCTTTTTAAGAACTATCCCTCCTCCATTCATGATTGGAAAAACCGCTTCTTCTTCCTCAGATACGATGGGCCTCCCCTCCCGGTTCGGTGGAACGGCTATCCCCCGAAGATTGAGTCACCGGAGCCGTCCGACAATCTGCTTTGGGACGTGGAGAAGGTGTTGGAGGGCGGCGTCTGCCCTATAGCCGGATACCTGACCTTCGAGGCACTCTCCGGGGCAGGCATAGGTACCGCCCGTGTTCTTGGACTTTTTCCACCCTTCGACGCTCGTCTCGGGGCACCGGGCGGTCCTGTCCTTCGAGGTGAGTGTCTTGTTATATTCTCCGCTCGTCTTTTAACCCTTATCGTTTCCTGCAGGTTCTTCACCAGATAGAGCTCAGATGAATCACGCTGAGTGTCTGAAGACAAGGAAGGCCAAGGCGGCCGCTGCTAAAGCCGCACTAGCGAAGGCCAAGAACGCCCCCTCCTCAGACTCCAACTCTTCGGCTTCTGATGCTGCTCGGCGGACGGCCGAGGGTGAACAGCATCTAATTGCCACCATGTTGGCCCAGGGGTCCGGGGCCCCTGCTCTCGAGGCTGCCCTCCCGCCGCCGGTCGTCTCCACGAAGGCGGCTTCTCAGAAGGGGGCAGAGAAAGCCCCTGAGAAAAAACAAAAGAGGGGCCGCGAGGCAGTCTCCACTGGCCTTCTGCTTGAAGACGCCGGCGCCCTGCCCTTGAGCCGCCCGGCGGAGGAACTCTGGAGGGAAATGGCCCTCAAGGCTGGGCTCGAGCTGCCCCGCCGTTCGTCTTCTGAAGCGACTAGTGCTGCCCTGGCAGCCGCTCTTCAGGTAATTCCTCATTTATTAGATCCGAGTATATGTTTTCCTTGACGTTCATCTTCTGACCATTGCCTTTACTTTTCCTTCCGTCATCCAGTCTGGGCTCCTAGTCCTTCAGGCTGAAGCTGCCAGGGAGGCCGACCTGAGGGAGGTCAAGGCCAAGGCCGATGCGGCTGTCGCCACAGCCCGGGAGGCCGCTCGTCGAGCTGAGGCGGAGGCTGCAGCCAAGGGGAGGGAGATTGCAGCCCTGCAGGCTGAATCCCGCAGCCAGTTGTCCGGTCTTGAGAGAGCCGGTTTCAAGCTTGTCCCGGTGCTCCCTGCCGCTAAGGATGCCACTCCGGAGTGGTTGGTCGACACCTCCGGCTATAGGAACACCGGGGAATTCATGGATTCCGCCAAGGACTATTGCGCCGGGGCCTTCGGTGATGTATTCTCTGCGGCGCTGGCGAAGATCCCGCCCCGGCAGCGTCTGGCGTGCGGGGTCCGGATTTTGGAGAGCTCCCCCTTGTCTCACAAGTTCCTCTATGAGGTTGGCGACAGCACCTTCGCCGCCGGCTACAACGAGGGCGTCAAGGCCACTCTCCCCATTTTCTCGAGGTTGCAAGGGGCTGACTTCGAGCTGGCTGCGAACACAGACGATGATCTGCTGCTTCAAGCCTTGGGGAAGCTGGGGAGGGACCAACGGCGGGAGGAGGCCAAAGCCAGAGGGGAAATTCCGGAACCCCCGACCCTTGAGCCCGAGGCCGAGGAGGAAGAGCAGACTCCGGGAGGAAGCCGGCCTGAGTCCCCTTTTATGGTGTAAATGTAACTTGTACTTCTTTTCATTTTGACTTGTAATGCCCGGCCGTTAGAGCT